AGGAATATAGTATGGAACTGATCATTTTTCTCCTCACTCATCCTTCTTCTCTTTGTTTGACTAGTAGAACCCATGTCCCAATCTTTAGAAGACACCACTGCTCAGCAAGAGGCCCATTTCTCACCAAAGGGATGTATAAAGAACTGAAATATACAACTTCTGTCTCCCTTTCTTGAAATGTGTGTGCCTAACCTTTCTTTCTTTATGTCCCCCTTCTTAGCTGCCTGTCCTGACAAGGACATCCTAGGGGAGGGCAGGAAAACAAGGAGAAGGAAGACAAGTCCCTGGACATCTCCATGGATTATTTCTGGCTGGCTACAGGAGAGAAAACGCTATAGGTGAACTACTCTGGTCTGGGTATCTCTGTTAACAGTGGCTTGACCTATACCCTTACAGTTTTGAATTTGGTACGAAAATGTTACAGACTAAATTTTGTACCCCCAAAGTTCATAGGTTGAAGCCCCAACCCAAGTGAAGCTGTATTTGGAGATTTGGCCCTTCAGTGGCCTTTAAAGAAGTAATTAAGGGGGCTGGGGCTCAGTAGTTGAACACTTACCTGGCACATGTGAGGCACTGGGTTCAATCCTCAGCACCACATAAAAATAAAATAAAGGTACTGTGTCCACCTACAACTAAAAAATACACATTTTTAAAAAAAGAAGTAATTAAGGGGGCTGGGGTGCCTCAGTGGTTGAGCACTTGCCTAGCATGTGTGAGGCACTGGGTTGATTCTCAGCACCAACTAAAAAATAGATAAATAAATAAATAAATTTTAAAATACTTCAACATTATTTTTTAGAAAATTTTTAGAAAGTAATTAAGGTTAAATTAGGTCATAAGGGCAATTCCCTAATCCCACAGGACTGATGTTCTTAGAGGAATGAAGATATACCAGTAGTGTCCCATAGGAGAACACAGTGAGAAGGCGGCCAGCTGCAAGCCAAGAGAGGCCTCAGGAGAAACTCCAACTGCTGATATCTGATCTTGGACTTCTAGCCTCCAGAACTGTGAGAAAATAAATTTCTGTTCTTCAGGTCACCCAGTCTTTTGCTATTTTGTTATGTGATTCTTCTGTTTAACACCTAGAAATGGAAAAGTGCTATCATAACAACAATAAAAATCAAAACTGTGTGGCTACGGAAGGGCAGCAGGCAATGAGGAAAGAGACATTGCAGGATGGAAAACTAGAGACCCTTTGTTATGTTTTAACAAACTATTAGGTAAAAGTGTTACCAGTAACAGCTGGGAAGGCACACTAACTGAGAAAAGTGGTTAGAAAAAAACAGAGTGGTGATTAGTATCTGCTGTTTTAGTAAGGTATTGGTCTAGACTGTTTTGTATAGCTATAACAAAATACTCAAGGTTGGGTAAGGTATAAAGTAAAGAAGTTGGTTTTTTTGTTGTTGTTGTTTTGTTGTTGTTTTTTTTTAGCTCACAGTTTATTTAGCTCCAAAGCATGGCTCCTCAGCTCTGGTGAGGGCCTCATGGCTGATGGCATCACAGTGGTGGGGGAACATGCAAAAGTGGCAAACACTCTTGTGGGAATTACTCCAGCCCCATTAGACCTGCATGAAGTCCTTCTGAGGACTGTGATCCCGTGAGCTCTCCTGTTAAAGGTTCTACTAACTCAACAGTATCTCACATTGGAGATCAAGCCTCCAGTGTATGAATCTCTGGTGGACAAACCACAGTGGTACTATGCAAAATAGTTGAATGAGACAAAAAAATTAAAAATAAAAATAGTTTACAAGTAGGTAACACAGCTTTTTGCAGAAGCTGTGTCTCTGCCCCGAAGTTCAACATCTCTGGTACTCCAAACAGCAGAAAATGTGGTTATCTTTCAGAGTTTTTCTTGAAAGTCTTCCATCAACTATTACTGGCCAGATAATGGGAGTCAGCTTAGCAGGAAAAAAAAAAAAGAGATGAAAAGTATTTTGTTCCACCTAAACTCGTTGTCCAAGAGGCTTCAAAGTGGCTGCTATCCAATTGAGGTACAGAGGTATAGGCCAGGTACAGCGAGTGTTGGCTTGTTAACTATAATCAAAATAGCTCTGGCTATAGTTACTTTCACATGAAATAACTGAGAGCGAACAGATCAGAAAACCATTTCTGATGAAATTATATCAATGTTATAATCAGCCTTAAAATACCAGATGAAACCTCGTTGCCACCACTTCCCAAAATTCAGAGTCAGGGGTTAGGAATTCAGTTCAGAAGTTGAGAACCATTAATATCACACACACACCAAAAGGGTATGAAAGGTTTATTATTCATATACAGAGACTTTCCAGGGAGACACAGCAGACTCCCCAAGTGGGTCCAGAACTGGCTTGGCTTTTATTATTGTTCTTGGAGTCTGAGGCTGGGGTGAAGGTTCCTGCAAGCAGGCCAGGGTTTGGGTAATTTGAACTTCCTGCTGGGCCCAAAGGAGGCGGCACCCAGGCTTCCACAGGCTTGCCCAGATGCGAAGCACAGAGGGAAAGAGAAATGGTGAAGCTTGAAGCAGTTAGCAACATCAAAAAAGGAGTTGAAGTCTTTTGACAGTCTGGTGAGCTATAATCCTGGCCTGTAAGGGCCTGTTGTTTAATTCCCTAAGGTAATCTAGGTCTGTAAGTCTGCACCAGCAGAAAGGGAGCTGCTAAAGCCGTAAGACCCCTCAAAAGTTTCAGATGTGACCATGGGAGTTGATTAGCAAAACATTTCTAGAGTTCAAATTAAGGGGCCACAGAGGCCAATAGACGAGGGAGTTTCTCCCAGAGAGCAGATCTGCAGTTCAGCCAAGGAGAACTTGGCCTTCTGGCAGGGCGAGGAATCTTTGCCATGCCTGCTCAGCAGATTTTCATTGTGATGTGGGCCACTGACGGCTGACCATCTTTCTTGTCTTTTATTTTATATTCATTCTCTCCTTTTTTCCTTTTAGAAATACTCCCCCTGAAGTATATTAGGGTACATGTCTAGCTGGAAACATACCCTGGCCTTCCTTGAAGCTAGGGTGAGCTAGGTAATAAGTAAAGAAGAACATATTTGGGCACAAGTGATGCATGAAACTTCCTTAAAAAGAAATACCTTCTCCCAACTTCCTTTTTTTTTTTTTTTCCATATTATAAAGTAGATGCATTTCTCTGAGACCTGTTGACCATGGAATGAACAACTCCCTTGGTAATGAGAAGAACAGGTAGGTGAATCCTGGATCCCTTGATTACCATGTGAAAGAGACTTGGCCTACCGACTCTCAACTCATCCACTACTTCTGGATATGCCATATGAGGAAGAAGTAAACTTCTATCTTACATGAGCCATCCCATTTTGTAGCCTCTTTGTTATAGCAGCTTGGTCCATTTTCTGATATATACAAAAAGAGAATGAAAATATTAAGAAGTTAAGCTTCTTTGCCTTTTATAACCTTTTTTAAGTATAAATAAGGAGCCTCAAATTTAAATGGCTATAAGCAAGTCAGACCCTAAAACTACATAAGACCTCCTGGATTCAGTGTTCTTCTCTTGCCCAAAAAATCAACCATACAATACAGTTGTACATGCTCTTTGAACCTAAGTGGAAGCATTTAGTTAATATAAACCATGAGTATCAAACTGACAAATGAAAACTCAGATTGATATATATCAACTTTCCTTTTCTCAAGATAAACATATGTCCATGCACTGTTAAATTTTATCTACTCTCTGTCATCAAGTAATCATGGACTCTTGGATAAAGATAATATGAAGAGAGTAGACTTCATCTCCCTACCCATGCAATGCAAAGATGATGATTTTCTCTGATTCCCAGTTTCATGTTACTTGCTTCAGAATAGTCACTGTGTTGCTAAGACAACAGGGACACAGCAACAGAAAACTGGGATTGAAGTCAAGGCACTGTAGCTACTTCAAAGGATGTCATAAATAGTGTGTTCAAGGTCTTTTTCACAGTGAAACCTGTAACGCTTGAATTAGGAAAAAAAAAGTGATCAGACTCATCCAACATTCTTTCATAGAGAATTATAATGCTCTCAAAAATTTACATTGTAAAATAAACATTGGTTTATGGACCAAAATTCAGGAAATCATCATTCCCAATAATTCAGATCTTTTTTTGAATCCTATGGGAATAATTGAGGGGAACTTGTCCTTACATTCCAAGTTGCCTTTCTCCTAATAGAAACATGTCTGTAGAATATGCAAAGGAAGCAGAAAGAACTATTGTCAGTGGTTCCTCCGTTAAAAAAAAAATCTACATTTCATTTAAACAAAGGTTTGGTTCTACATGGTAAATGAATATAATTTTGATATTTACTGAGACCTGTGATTGGTATTTGGAATCTGAGTTTATGAACAGGTGCAAAGAAGTATGGTCTCCCTGATGACCTTTTGATCAAGGCACAGAAAGCCCAGCAGCAGTGGTGGGAGCTGGGTTACATCTCCAGATTTGTCTAAGTAAATGAAACTGTGGCAATCTCGCTGTATTACTTCCAGAACATCAAAGCAAGGACAAAGAAAAGAAAAAATGCTCCGAACTGACTTTGCATTGTTTTCTGACCTAAAATATAAAAAACAGAAAACAGCTTTTAATTATAAGCTGAAGAGTGTCCTTCACATCATGTATATTGTAGTGCACAGAGATTAAAAAAAATATTAATCAGAAATAACATGGATGGATCAATCAAGGAGCCCTGTGCTCTTAGAGTGTGGACAGGCCTTCTTCAGAATCGTCTCACTCTCTTAAGAAGTAAAAAATAATGGGTGAGGCCAAGGCAGGTGGTAGAGGACATGGAGACACAGAAATAACTGGAATTACCAGTGCATAATTCATTCTTCCAGGAGGAATCAAAAGACACTCTTTAATTGAGGAAACTGAAGGTTATACAGTATAATCAAGGCTTCTGCAGGAATCCTTGTTATCAAGTAAAAGTTAAATCTAGCAGAGTCAAATGAAAAGCAGAAAACCTTTTTTTTTTTTTAAACCCCTGGTATTCTAAGCATTAAAAAAAAAAGGAAATAGAAAAGTACACAGACCACTCTTATTTTAATATTCTTAAGTAGCATAAATCATAATGGTTTGTATACTACACTATACAAATAATATACTGTTACTTTCCAAAGAAAATCAACTTCTTATAGGGTTTTCTGAAACAGTTACTCCATATAGCTAAGAGCTTGACCCTTTAGCCATTGCTACGACACATGGAATATAAGCTATGAGGTTCCAAGTCTTCCAGTTGTGCCTGTTTCTGCTGCCACTGAGGGAGGAGGCTCTCGGAGACCTGTCTCGGCCCCTTCCATCTCCTGCTCCAGGAAACACGGGCTCTGCAGGTGGACATGTGCCCAGGCGTGCAGCTTCTGTGCTTTGCTTCCCATAAGGCTATCCCATTTAAGAGAACTTGCGCTTCTTCATGGCTTCTGCCTTGACTGCCAGGCTCTTGGCACAGATGGTTAGAACCACAATGAGAACGCCCACCACAAATGTCACTAGGGGCCAGAGGAAGCAGTGCAGGAGGACAATCTCATCATGCGTACGATGCAGGAGCACGTCATCTGGTCTGCAAGACAGTGGAGAAGAGGAAAGGAAAAAGCAGTCAACTGCCTTGGCATTGCATTGAAAACTCTTACACTCTGGGGCCCAAGTGGATCTCCTTCCCACAGGAATAATCATCCTTAAGGTGAAGACCTTGCTCTGACTACAAATACAGTACTTTGTGCTTCAAACCTGGGAGCTCTTGAATCAAGTAATTGGTGCAAATTTGCACATCATTTATAATATAATTTACATGCTGCAGTCTGTCAAAAGTGCAGCAATCACTTCTGCTATTTTCCTCCATTATAAGTTGCCTAATGGATTCCACTTTCTCATTCATCCTCCACCGATCAAGGGGTTTGAATCAATCTAAAAATTACTGATGGGTGAGCATTCCCTGACAAACTTCAACACTCAGATGGGACCCCAGTGATCTTAATTCAGAAAAAAAAAACATGTCAGTTAAAATCACTGTTTGAATCAGTTAGAACGACATAGGGTTTAGCCCTCAGGTCAACTTAGCTCCACTATGTGAACCAGGATTTCATTAATAAGCAGACAACAGTTGAACTGATTGCACTTTTGCATGCTCCTGGGTGGGATGAGCCATAATTCCGAACTACTGATGTCCCTCCAGCTTGTGATTCTCGGAATTAAACCCAGGGACTTGTGCACACTAGGCAAGTGCTCTACCATTGACCTACCTCCCCAGCTCTGACCACTTTCTTGAAAATCTTTCAAAGTCTTAGTGATATATTTAGATTTCTGTCTTATCAATGTGGGGCTCTATTTTCAATTTCTGCATTGATCTCATTGATAGGAAGTGAAGAGAAGATATACGCCATGAACCTTGGTCTCTCATTTTTGTCGAGATCCTGGGAATTCAGATTTCATAAATGATATTTATATTTTACAAGATATTTCCATTTCATCCACAGGAAGATTTGTTCTGTTATACTAGAGTCATTATGCTTCCACCAGAAAAAGAAGAAAATAATGTAGAATAATTAGTGCAATTGCCTTCAAGAACATCAAAGACTTCAGACCACAAGGGCAGTGCATTTAACAGAGAAGTGCATTCCTAAGGAGTACTCATTAGTCATAGCTCTCATAATTCAGAACCTATTTTCCTACCAGATTGACAAAGGCCATCGGGTATTTCTCTTTTACCTATAGTGAAGTTGTCATGTGGCTATAACAGAAACAGTTGTACAAACTGGCTTTGACATTTCCTAATTCTTGCACCTTTTTCCCCTTTGGGTACATAATTTCAAATTCTGCATATAACATGAGACATTTTATTTCAATTAAAATTTACATTGTGTGCAATAATTAGATAAAAATGATTGCAACTTGTAGAAATTACTCCAACTTCTGAACTCCTGTAGCAATATATTGTCGTCAAGAATTTTGATTTATGTGTACATGTCAATGCACATGTCCTTTTTTCCCAGTAAGGTCAGAAGGACTGTGATTTTGCTGTTGCCTGTTATTCTACACAGCTGTTGCTAAACAACTGCTTGCCACTAATGATGAACCGCCCATATTGCATTCTTATTTTCTTTTTTAAAAATTTTTAAAAATATTTTTATTTTTTAGTTGTAGTTGGATACAATACCTTTATTTTATTTATTTATTTTTATGTGCTGCTGAGGATTGAACCCAGGGTCTTGCACATGCTACACGAGTGCTCCACTGCTGAGCCACAACCCCAGCCCTGCATTCTTATATTCTAGGCGAACTTTAAAGAAACTTTTTGCTGGGTTCTGACACAGTAGAGGTCAGGGTCCAAAAACAGGGCACAGGATAGTCAGAGCCACCTTTCAGAGTCTTTGAAATCTGCACCTCTAACACTGCCATGATTCTTCCCACAGGTACAGGTACCCACAGCTGTCAGGTAACTCTACCTAAGTAGTGTGCAAGGAATGATTAAAGCTCCTTCTCCAGAGCATCTTTCTTTCTAGGAAGAATTATCCTACTCCTCCGGAATCTACTGGTACAAAGATGAGACCTAGATTCTTCATCCAAAAGGGTAAGATGTAAGTGCATTTAATACCACTGAACGGTACACTTAAAAACTATAATAGCATTAGAAAGAAGAAGAAAAAGTAAAAAGAAAAAAGGGAGGAGGAGGATGGAGGGCTTTGATTTTTAACACTATTTTAGTGAATGTGTGTATCGTTTTTATAAGTAAATGTGTTTTTACAGCTAATTTTCTATTAAATTGTGTCAGTGTGGATCTTTTTGGCATTCCTTCTACAGTCATTATTACTGATGTTGAAGCCTCTACCACAATATTGTACACTAAGCCAGAAAAACAGGCCAGATGAGAGTAGTTCGCATCATATACATATTCTCTGAAACACAGTCTGAAGATCATGTCCTGGAAAAAAAAGTGAGTAAAGAGGGAGAGGAAGAGACAAAACAAAAACTGGAAAATCCTAGACCCAGATATTTGTTTTATTTAGAAACTTCTTGGAATTCTACCTCCTTCAAGAACCCTTTGGGCAATCTTTTTAAAACATTTTAAATGTTTTAACCATGTTTTTTTTTTTTACTTTGAGTGAACCAGGTTGAATTTGCAATTGCTTCAAAAGCTTTCTGTTGAGATGGGCATATTAAATATAAATGTACCCATTTTTAAAAAATAATTCATGTCTCTTTCTATTTCATGCCTCAGGATCCTCCAATTTTATCAGGCGGGCAGCTTTCGGATTGTGTAGCTGGAAATTATTTGTAAAGGGATTTGGGCTTTGAATTCAGTTTCCACAATTATATGGTAAGAATGAAGAGGAACTTTCAAGAATGTAGACCCAAGGCAAAAAAGGACGGCTATTCTGTGTATAAGGACTTCAAAAATGCAAGCAAGAGTGTGCAGGAACTCTAATGGAGAACACTTTAAACCCTGGGAAGAGGAAGGCTCAGATATAAGAGAAGAAGAAATGCTGTAGTAATGTTAGAAAAACATTCCAAGGGGCTGGCACTATCCTAAGTCCAGCTTTCAAAGTATAATGTGATGATAATAACACTAAGCATTTTTGTTTATTTTTCTGATAACTGGCATTTATTGATGCTTACTACCTGCCAAGTACTGTAGCAGGATGTTTCATTTTATTTGATGCTTAAAATGACCCTGTGCTTGAAAAATTTTTTAATTTTTGCTTTACAAGTGAAGAAACTGAGGCAAAGGACAATCACTTTGCCCAAGATTATATAATTTAACATAATGACAATGATTTGAAACTCTGCTTAATTTTTAAACCTGTACTATTAGCCTTTAAGCCAGCTTTTCTCAAATTAGATTCATCTATGGAATTGGTTTCCTAGGTTTCAACACTTGATTTACAATATTAGAACCTGAGGTTGTAGGGTCCAGAAATCTATACTTTGGAGAAATTTTGGGGTGATTCTATATGTACTTGAGTTTAAGAAGCACAGTATAATGTTTTAATAGCTAAAAAATGTAATGTGAACCATGAAGCTACTTAGCTGGCTATTTCCGAAGCTGTCTAATTGACACTCCTGCCCAGGTAATTTTCATGGCCTCTACATACTTTTAGGTAGAATATGCACTACATAAAGGAACCACAGGATAAGAAAGAGGAGAGCTGAAGGGCTGGGGACATAGCTTAGTTGGCAGAGTGCTTGTCTAGCATATGCAAGGCCCTGGGTTTTTAGAGATGAAAGGGAGGGGCAGGTTCAGGACAGGGGTTAGGGGGGAGACCATGATGCTAAATTTGCCCAGGAGAAACGTTTGTTTTAAGGGATAGAAAGATATCCCATAAACTAGCAGTAACACTAGTCAATTGAGATAAAAAGACAAAGATTTGGTGTATGTCACCCTAAATACAGAAAACCTATTCCTTTAAACTGTCTCACCAAATGGTAGTCCTTCCATTCCATGATGCTTATTCCTTTGGCTAACAGTGAAAGTGATCCCTTCTTCTTCCCTTGCCCCTACCCTCCAGCATATGGGACAGGAAATTTCTTAACTTATCCAGTTCATACAAAAATATGACCTGCACTACACTTTACTAGTATTGCACAATAGAAACTGTACCGAGAGACAAGATGACCCACTTCAAAGTGCTTTCTCCATGAGAGCGTACAGGAAATAGAAATCTTTCTAGATTTGTTATCACAAGTACTTCTCGCTTCTCTGAGCAGAGAATTTTTCTTTTCATGTAGGCTGCTAGAAAGTTAAGATTTTGGCCCAACTAGCAAGATGACATGGCATTCTTATGCCAACCACATGCCTATTGCTTTGCCTTTTTTTTTTCTTACACATTTCTAATTTCTCATGCTAAATCCTCTCTCTCTCTCTCTCTCTCTCTCTCTTATTTGTTTGGTGCTGGGTATTGAACCCAGGGCCTTGCACACATTAAGCATGTGCTTTGTCACTGAGCTGCACTCCAGCCCCAATCCTCTCAATATTTAGGGAACTCACTATACCCTTATTTATTTATTTATTTATTTAGGTACTGGGGATTGAATCCAGGGGTGATTAACGATTGAGCCACATCCCCAGCCCATTTCATTTTGAGACAGGGTCTTGCCAAGTTGCTTAGGGCCTCACTAAGTAACTGAGGCTGGCTTTGAATTTGTGATCCTCCTGCCTCAGCCTCCCTAGCTGTTTGGATTACAGGCATGCACCACCACACCCATCCTAAATCCTTCTTAAAACAGGCATTTATACAAGTATCTACATTTATGTAGCTACATTTACATATCAGGTATATTATAAACCATGGGAATTTTTTAGTTGTCAAGTTTTTCTCACATTTCTACAAAAAAATAATGTACTACATCATTACAGGAATTTGCACTTATGCCTTTTGACTTTAAAGTCTGAAAATGCTTCATCATTATTTCAATCAAAATGATTCTGCAGGCATAACTTCAGTTCCATATGCCAGGCCTCTGGCATGGTAGTACAGCCAAAGGACACCAAAAATGTGATGATTTCATTCTCCAAGCCTTTGAACAGGTGCTATCTAGGCCTGCTTTAAATCTTATTATTTATAA